ATCTATGAAAAGGAACGGAGAGTACCATGGCTTCTACAAAATTTTGGATCAGATTTTGCAGAACATAATTCAAATTTTGATTTCCTTAGTTTGAAAAGACGAAATCACAGAGTGAAGTTTTTTCCTCAGCAATCAGGAGAATGTTCTAGGAGGAGAACACATGCCCGAGATAAGACTGCAGGCTTCTCAACCTGCACGTCCTTACCTCTATGAAGAAAAGCCATTGTAATGCAGTCGAAAAAAGGCTGAGAACAGCTATGGAGAGTTTCCCCCGAAGAATATCTTACAATTTGAAGGCGATGAGAGTGCAAGATCGCTCAGCATCATGGTAAACTTTTTGCTGGCGGAATCATCAATTCATGCTCGCACGAAACAAGCCCTTGATTTGCAAGAGGCTTGTTATTCGATATCTCGAAGGGATAAAAAGTGAAATGATTATCGGCTGGCGTTCACCAGCCATTCAGGAGGTCAAAAACACGTTCGAGTACCTGCACCGTTTCCAATAGAGGGATCTGTGGCGTACCTAACTGTATATAGTAGGTTCATGACCGCCTATTCCTCCTAATAGTTGAAGTTTACTTGCAAAAGACTAGCTAGTCAATTACATCTGTAGCTTGAAATTGATCTATAGCTTTAATTAATTGTAATCTATAGCTATAGCTAGCGATAATTTATGATTCCATGTAAGCCGGTAATTATTCATTTACAACGGCATCACTATAAGATGACAACCGTATACAACTGCTTTTCTTTGTAGTCGCTCTCACAGGAACTCATCACGGGCTAGTTGAGAATTCGTAGTTGTTTCAAGCCGACGGCTGCTTTCGGTGATCTGACATGTCCCGAGAGGCCATTTAATCTGAAGCCTCTTCAACCATGACAATTCTCTAGCGATGTGTCGCGCATTGCATCGCGAAAAGCACTTGTTAAACTGATCATTATGCGGAGGCGAAGGCAAGTCGAAGAGTAGGTGCAGGGAGGGAACGCGCACATCAAGGGGATGCAGAGATTTTCCAGTAGCCCAGGCTTTCAATCACCTAGAGAAGCATCACATGTCTAATCTGAACAATCAATCATGTTGACGGTTGTTCTCGACTTCTCAATGAAGATAAAGTTCCATGTAATTGGACCGCAACCACTTCTCTGAATCGAAGCTTGACTTTAAAAAGCCCGAATGATCATTAAAATGTTGTTTTTCAAAGTGTTCTGTTGGCTGTTGTGCACATGCTTGTGTACAATCATTAGGTGTAAAAAACAACAAGTCAACATGGGCCAGAAAGTCTTCAGATATCAAAAATGAAATGTTTCTAATGCACCAGCGAGTGGATGCTGAATGAGAGTGACAGCTATCAGAAAATCAAGGTGTGGGCAACTAGCGTAGGCTTCTAGGAAGGTTTCTAAGGTGAGGGGTTAATAACTCAACATCTGGTGCACTTAAATTTTTGAATGGATCCCGATAGCGTTGACCCTCGTAGAAGCTCTGGAGCAGGGCAAGTGGACGGCTGCAATGACGGCTAACCAGGGAAGGGTCTCAAGTTCCCATGGAACATTGAATAGAGACCTAGGTATATCGATATGGTTTGGAAAGATTAGCCACAATCTGTCTTATCATTATTCGAGGAACAACATGTGCGTTTCCAAGCAAATATGTCCTGTTGTTCACCCAGTAAGTGTAATCTTCAAGGCGATAGCTTCAGAGATTCTCATGCTGTATCTCTATAAGGCATAGCTAGTAAAGTCTGTGAGATTGCAAGGGAGTTTCTATGCTTTTTGAGTACTTCTGATCACAAAAGTTGCCGATTCTAGCAGGTGCCACCACCATCGCCAATGCCGACATCGAAAACACGAATGCAACTGCCGTTTAGAACCGGGTTTGTTCCTTTTCCCATGTTTCTGCAGTTTGCATTTTTGATATTCTCTGTTATAGAAGAAGAGCGCCATTGGCCGAATTCGAATCTTCCGTGGTAGAGGACTCGCCAGCAGTCGAGAACAATCCGTTGACGTTCGAAAAATGGAGCAACAGCCCTCGAAACAAGAGAAGGTCTCGTCGGCTTGTTTGGGCAATTCTCCAATCTCTCAAAAATTCTGAAGAGGCCCGTACTCATTTAAGGCACTCGGCGCACATAAACGGATTTGCGGAGCCGATTGCTGAGGAAAGCGATGGCAATGGCAATCCCGGCCAGCCCATCACAGCTCCTACTTCGTCCAGTAAGTGCATATTCAAGGTGTAGCTAGAGATTCAATTCTAGATATGAAAATTCAAACTTGCTTCCTCCTGACATTGTGAAGTCATCCCTGATTTGAAAAGCTGAAGGATCTTTTTTGAAAACTCGATTACGAGTGTAATCGAAATTGGGTTGCAGCTTTCCCATGGGCTTCAATTTCCTTTCGGAATATCAGAAAATACTGACTTACTTTTCATTTATTTCGAATCTGTGATAGGCTTATTCTAACTGATCCAACTTTTTGAAGGATGGAAATGAAAAGTGATAGAACTTTCTACTCCCTAGCGATGCAATCTGAAGAGATAATTTCGAAGACCAACTTTTGTATCGAATTTGAACATTCACTGGTGTGGAGACACACACTTCAATAGGAGATCGGGCCAATTTGAAAAATTAGAATCGGTGGTTTAATACCCACTGTACGATGCGATCACTAGAGCTTTACAAAACTAATATACTTTGACTGAGAGTCCGTTTCGTAGATAGACATGGGATGAAGCATGAGCCCACTACCACCCTTTCGGGGTCGTTTGGGGTCGTACCAAAAATCGATTAGGTGTGTCCGCAGGGCTACCCAGGCTTCTCGGGCGACAGCAAAGGATTCCCATTACATTTCTCAATTAAGGATCGGAATGTGCAATGTCTCCGGTAATGCCAAGACACGAACCAGCCCCAGGACTTATCGACGATGAAATTCTGTGAGTTTCAAACGTTATGTTCATGAAATTTGGGACATCTTCGTTTGTCCTTGAAGTTCCTACCTGAAATTTACGTGACTCTTCCGAAGATCATAAAAACTTCTAGGTGGAGGAGAAATTCGGAAAAGAAAATTTCTCATTCCTCTAGAAAACTCGTCCATCCCTCCGTTTCTCTGCAAACATAGAACTCTCTGAATATCATATTTTGAGTGACAAGAGCTTTCTTTCTGAGACATTCCGCTGCTGCGCAGCAGATGCCGCTGTCATATTTAATACCTCTGTAGCTCCCATAATTCCTTTTCTAAATCCCTATTCTCAGATGGCAGCTTCCCCCATGGGATTATGCATGTACGACGGCCCCTTCCCATCGCCCGTTTTTCCTTTTTGTGATATCGCTTTCAAATCCGTTCGCATATTCTGAAATTTCCGAGCGTTTAGGGACCAGCCCATGCTCGTTGGCGATACGTTCTCGCACTCTGAGTCGTCCGACTGCCTATCAGCCGTGAGAAGAATGGAATTCGAAGCCGAGAAAGCCACTCTCATCTCGATCGACCGGTCGCTCGTCGACGACGATTCGCTGTGAGTTCATTTTTCTGTGAGCTGATCAAATTAGGCGTCATAAACATTGCGAAACGGAATGATTGGGATCTGTCAGCCCCTTCGATTTAATAAACGGGTTTCACTCTAAGAAACATGGTAAAGTAGGAAAGGTCATTGGGAATTTAGTCCTCTTTACCGTCATCTATTCCATACCGGTTGACACCTTTCGACAAGTGCATCTCTTTGATTGATCATGTGCTAATCAGCGCCCCTAATGAGCGTGTGGACTCCGATCGGTACCGTGGGCGTGGAGCGGCAAGGGAAGGTGTCAGCGGGTTGGGACTGGGTGGGGGCGAGGAGGGCGAGAGAGCGATCTCGTTCCAACCGCTACAGTTGTTATGGTCGACTGCCTGCTGTCGGCCGTCGTTCGAACTCTCAGGTTTGTTTTCATGCTATTTCGTTCCCCATCGCACGAACCTAGCTCGTCCCCTGCTGTCTGATCCCCATCAGCCCTCATGCCAACGACTTCTAAATCGATTCCATCGAATTCCCCTTCTCGATCGCAGCTGATTCACATCACGCTGCCCAGTCGACATTCTGTTAATGGTGTGCGGAAGCGGCTGCTTTAACGGGCTCTTTCTATGTATTTCAAGGTTCGATTCTTTTCCTCACTCCCTATTCGGAACCAAACAAATAGCATGGTGGCTATCCTGCTTATTCTGCCCCGAGTTGGTTGAGATCTTTAATCCTTAGTATTCTTTCCTTACTTTCCCTCGGCTGAAGTGTTCCTCCTGTCGTTACTTACTCCGCAGAAAAGCGGAAAGGAAGTGGATTGGCCTTTCAAAAACTTCCTTTTCCTATTCCAACTTTTCCCTAAGCTTCTTAAACTTTTCAAAGTTGTTTGTATGCTCTGTATGCGTTTAGTTTAGCGCCTATTTCAGACCACGACGGACTTATGACAATGGCAATGTTCCACCTCCTACCACAGCGTGAGTTCTACCTTTTTCCCTACCCACTCAACAGCTGTTTCACCATCCTGTTTTCCATGAAGAAATAATTGTTCACGTCCTCCGTTATCAATGACTTTTTTCTCTGCCAACCAGAAAACAGTGGCGATCGATTGATTGTTTATGCGAGACTCCTCGTGTGTTGAGGAAATGGCTTTGAGGCTACCACAAAAACCTCAAATGTCCTTGTTGGCGCATCGTTTTCTCGATGGGCACCGGTTTTACGGAGGGGTTCCTCGCCCGACTTCAAGCGTCCGTGCGAGAAACATTCTCGGCGTGAATCCTGGTTCGGTTGTGGTGAACTATGTATGATCGAGTTTTGAAGAATTCAACTCGTTTATTTATCTGAACGAACTCTTATGTTTTCCGGGTTCCGTGTAACCAAATTATGTCGTAATTTCCTTTGGAATTTCCTTTTAACTTGGGGGGAGGAAAAAATTAATGTAGTCGTTGATTTCTTAAAAATGATCATTGAATGGAATGACTTCCGTTTCCATTTCATGTTCGCTTATTATTTGGTATCAAACCAGCTCATGGAAATCTGCTCTCAAAAACTTTTTTCTTGTTCTTGCATGATTTTTAGTCGTTTTATCACACTGAAATGGTGAAAAGAAATTGATAGAAAAAGAAGAGGGGAGGGGAGGGGGAGGAGGGAAGGGTCAGCTTCACGAACTAGCTAGCTATGGAACATTTACTAAGTTGGGTGGATTCTCGGTAACTAGTTTTCGAAAGGCTCGGATCTCTCGATCGATAAACATGATGGATTACTTGATTTTTGCACATGCCAAAGCCTATCCGTGAAAAAACCCCATTAGCACGTGCTTTTCCTTGCGCTGGATTTTTTCCAAGAAAAGCAACTTCTAATCATCGCATAGTGCGAGAGCGCCGTGTCACTCAACCTTCGACTGCAATCGAATACATCAATGGCACATTGAACGAGAGCCCTTCTACCGTTTCCACCATGCATGGCTATGGTTCCTTGGAGAAGACACTGTGCCTCAAGATCAGTCTTAATCGAGATATTCTTCCACCATAGGAGGACCCATCGTTCTCGACCGTTTCATTCGACAGCAAGGTATTCCTCCGCCAGTCACTACATCCTTTCAGCATATCCATGACCCATGCTGGAAACATGCCTCATCCAGCCTTTGTCGTGACCTTGCCTCTTCTGATTACCACTTATGCCTCTGTCCTCAAGGCTTCGTGGGATCTGCGTCGTACGTGGGAGTCCCTAGTGATCAGCTATGGAATTCACATACTTGGTGATGTTCCACTGTGTAATAAATAGAAAAAACAAAAAATGATCAATCGGAACACACCTTCCCTCCAATGTGGTACTTCATGATTCAAAACGAGAAACAAAAACATAATTTGTCCTGCCGTGTCCTTTTTTGGCGTATTTCGGGATGTTAACAAAGGAATGCTAGGAAAAAAGTTTCATCATTGGCAATAGATCTCCAATAATGGATGGCTGGGACCGCTTCGTATGGTCATTAACACGGGATAGTTGTTGTATTGCGGCGATGCAAACGCGTGTAGAACCGGGCACAATCGTCGCTAAAATAGCCACGTTTCGAAGTTTGCGTAGCATCGAGTAGGCAAAAACATGGGATAGTTGCATTCCCAGGTTTCTTTGACTAAATGCCTCGAGTTTACCAAGAAGATGTTCAGGCTTATCGTTGGGATGTGAGCTTTCAGGGTCATGTCCCGACTGTAATGGTGAGCCTTGCCTATATCTTATATCATCCGTGAAAGTGTTCACATGTTCGTTCACTTTTCATCATAAAGCGGTTAGTAAACAACGAACAAACAACAAATAATAGTGATCAACAAACAGAAATAACAAAGTGCCATCAGATCTAGATTTCATTGAGTATTTCACACTTCGCTCCAGATTTTTCATTTGATAGTACAGCTTTTTGAAAAAAAAAACTATGTCAAAAGAGGCAAATATGAAAAGAGCCATCTTGCTCAATAGGAAGGATTGATCAACTTTAGTGTGTTTAGCGGCTTCGAAATATTTTAAAATGATTAAAGAATTAGGTACTATTTAGTTACCCCGCGAAAAGTAGGGAAAAAAAGCAATGTCGTAAAATGGAGGAACTTGGACTTGAACAGTTACGTCTCAGAAAGCCCCCGGACCCTTTCCTAAATTTTCAGATCTATTTGTTTTCGAGTTCTGAGGCTTTTCCGAAGTATATCAATTAGTTTTCATTACTTGCAGCGCTTTTCAGGCGTGCCGCCACGGTGTTCACTGGCCCACCGCTAGCCTATCGTAAAGCTCTCGAAGATGGTCTCAGTGAGGTCGACGATATACGAAGTCAACTTGAGAAGCTTCAACTTCTCGTCTCTCAGGTCTAAAAAAGTTCCGAGTACTCTACTTTATTAAGTGGAAATATTGTTATTATAAAATGTTCGAAAATAGGAATGCCAATAGCATGCGGTCAATCTTTTCGTATTGTTTTAGTGACACCGCATCGTGATCAAGTTCTCAGAGCACCTAAAGGTTCTGGTATTTTGATCGAAACAATTTTATGCAAAACTAAATATCAGTTTTAAAGTCTTATTTTTACGCGATCAATCCTGGAACGCATGAAAGCTACCAGAACAGATCGTCTTTTCAAACGTAGCACTCTCACCAAGGTGACACTCTTTTGTTGTCGCTGTGTCTGTCAACATTTGCTCAGAGCGGCAGAGTTCCGTTCGACAGGGCATAAGGAACTCCCTGACTTGCGCAGGTATAGAAAAATTGTTTTTGAAAGGTCAAAGCCTCTTTGCAAGGTTAAATGATGGTGGGAGGCATCGGTGACCGAGTTATCCAGGACCTCTCATAACGACTATTCTGCTCTTTGACTTCTGATGAAACATGTCTATCTACAGAACTTTGAAAGAATTTCAAACTTCGATTGATTAGGCTTTGTAAGTAGACCGCAGTCTTTTTTCGAGAAGCTTATAGTAGAGAAATAGAATTAGTATCAGTTTCCTGGGGAAGAAGAGAAAGGAAAAGGTAGGAAGCATCTCCTTCTGGAGCCTAAGCCTGACGACAGCATGCAGTTTCCTGTAGCGCTAGGTTATTCCTGGGCGCTCACTTGTGTGTACGCGCTGAATCCATCTCAGTTTTCTCCATCGAGCGAATTGGTTCACCATATGTAAGAGTTCGAGTTTTGTTTGAGGTTTAACGATTTGCCTACGACCCAACATTCTCGCGGGATAATACGGTTTTCGAAGTTTACTGTTTTCGGAACTTATAACATCTCCACGCTTTTTCAATATTGGTATCGTTCTAATGTTACGATAGTCATATCAGGATTAGTCGTTCATTTCCTTTCGAAGCTCTCACAACATATGAACACCGAGCGATTGTAGGGAAGGTCGACGTGGTTGATTTTCGTGGGCTATGTCTTTCATACACCCTCTCTGAGCGCATAACAAATAGCCTTGATTTAGGACGACCTTGCGCAATTCTATCCAATTAAGATCGGCAGCAATTGAACTTTATTAGGCTTGGAGAGAGGAACAACGTTGGATTGCTTATAGTGGGGGTAACATATTTATGTGCATATATTATATATACATATATAGGTATGTATATATGTGCATATTCATATATACATATGCATAGCTTTGTTCATGTTATTCTGCCTTGAAGGAGCATATATAAATACCTATTATTCAAAAACTTATTTATGTTATGAGATTTTTCGTTACCGTTTCAATATGAGAGCTGTTTGAAAGGATGCCCAAGTCTAGACTCTTTCAAGAATATTCCTCAAAAACATCACTCACTAGCAGTCGTTTTTGGAAACGTGCAATGTTTATCCAGCTGACAGCTCATGAAGAAGAGATGACAATTTGCTCAACATTTCTCCATTGTTCTTTGTGATCAATGCCGTCACGATACGGCACGGCATCGACTTCAGTCAGGTCTGGATATCGAACAAAGGCCGTAGGCCGTAGGGTCCTGAAAAGGAGAGGGGATAACTCATTCAATTTACCTAAAGGAAAAGCGATTGGATAATCGCTCAAACAGAAACATTTAGTAACTGACCATTTAGTAATTGACGAGTGGAATTGTTCTCACTTCAAATATCAAAATAACTTGTCCCTTGTCGTGCGGTTGATCATCATTTTCCTCCAGCGAGTGTGAGTAAGGTTTCCATAGGTATTTGTTACGAGTCAGAGTGGAATCGTCGCTTCAGGGGCATAACATTCCTTCCCTTCAGAGCTTTCGTGAGGAAGTCTGGTGTTCGTTTGACATCCCTGGGGATATAGTCAGTACCGTCTTGGTCCAACGGTCATCATGATATCGCATATTGTGTCCGGCCCACTTAAACAAAATACCAATGCCCTGTCAATCAATCCAAGTAAAAATGTTCCTAAAAATTCGAACATGCCATCTGTTTTGCTTTCCGTTTTTTCTCTATGTATTTGAGCTCAACGATTCAGGAAATGCGTGGAACAGAAATGGAGAAGTTAATCCGCGAAAATGAGGCACTCCGACGCGAGCTGGTTGCTAAGGATGATCTGATTTCCAGTCTTCGACAGCAGATCGCCTCACAACGCCGTGAAACCTGAACCCTTGAGAGCGTCGAAAAGAAGATGGGCGCTGGGCACGGAAATACCAAACTCCATATTAATGGCCATCAATGGCTCTATGTAATCTCCCCTTACTCTTCGACTAGCATCCCCACAAATATATCCCTGATCAGTTGTCTTTCCAGGTTTTGATCTCATCCGTTCCAAAATATGAACGTCGATCTCAATGGGTATTTCGCGATTTTGTTGCTTTTTTTTTAGAAACACCGTTCATGGTCCCATGTTCCTCTGTTGTGCCCTAGGTGAACATTATTATGCAAATTGATTTATACCGGTGGTTGTTTTGGATTCAGTTAATGTAAACACTTGTATATTGAAAAGTACTAAATAAAGTAGATGAAATGGTAATTTCTGTGTTGGTTTTGCAAAAAAAAAACGTGACTTGGGAACGAAACAGAGGCAGAATAGTAAAGAAGAGAAGAAAGTACCGAGAAGAGACACGTACATTTATCTAGCGGCAAGCGTACATTTGCATCTCATGCGTAGTGAACCTCGCAGGCTCAGCGGAACTTGACTAACCTTAGACTCCACATTCAAGTGCATCCAAGGCCCATTAGCCCCCTCATCGACCGATAGGTCCAAATAGGAATCGAAGCATGCCGCATGCTGCTCCGTCGATGATTTACTCACTCTCGAGTTCTTTTCCCTTTTTTGCAAAAATGCCCACCCTAATGGTTCGAAAAATCACAAAAAAACGCGAATTCGCGTTTTCCCATTTTTCTCTGTCACTAAGTAGATTTTCACCCTTTCGCGTATACTGTTATATGGTTCAAGTTAGACCATCGACCCCCAGAGGTGCTGCCCTCCAAATTTCGTTAAGTTCAATTTTGAAGTCCTTCGTCCATCAAAGTTTCTGAGGGTACGTGACTAGCAAGGGCACTTGCTATAATCATGTCCAGAAGGCATTCGCTTCTCTTGAAAGTTTTCAGTGGGTCGTGGAGTAACCGTTATTCACCGAACCAGATGAAAATCAGACCATGGCTTTTCTCAGAGTAGTTCTGGTCATTTCAATACAAATTTTCTTCAAAATGGATGAAATTGGTCATGTAGTAATTTCAAATGACAGCGGTTTTTAAAGTTAAGTACAGCAAATATGAGTTCGTTCCTCTTCGCAGTAAATGTTATGCCTGTTCTATAGAAAAATTACTTTTCTGCAGCCTGCGAAATGTCGTGAGGTCCACAGAAAAATTCAGATAATCTTTCAGATTCCTGGACGTGGCATGTTCCTGCAAAGAACATACTTTTTTCTGGTTCTCCCAAGTAGGATTGATGATGTTCAGAGAGAAGCTACGTACTGGTCCAAGAGATTCATGCTGGCCCTTCGTGAGCAATCAACATGAGCAAAAAATTGTAAGCTGTCTAGAACCTCGGGCTATACAGTAGCGCTCAAAAGACTTCGGCTAAATACATCTTCAGTCGGCATATCAGCATAGGTCACTCAGCTCTGTAAGGGTGTATTTAGTCAAAAAAGGGAAGAAAGTTGGGAAAAAGGTCACAAAGAAGAGCAATTAAATATCAATGTCTATCTGAAAATCTAACATCCATCAAAAGCCCACAGCGATGCCAAACAGCCTTCCATAAGCTGTGGCGCCGGGTGTATCTATGGAATTTTGTTCCTACTAACATCAACCAAACAAATTGCATATATTTGATAGTTTCAATTTTACCTGATGAGCAATTTCCACATGTTTCTAAAGCTTCTCTGAGTCTCCCGCTATAGGCGCTTCACTATCGCATCATTCATTTCCCATCTATTCAATTGCCACCGATGTCATCCCTAGATTCATTTCGAGGTTGACCTCCACTGTAGTGCGTAAGGGAGAGTATAAAGCAGGTGGAGCGTTTATACTACTTGTTGCTCACCCAAAATTTCTCTGTATTGACTAAGAGTCTCTTACTGGGGGTTATAATTACTGTAACCTCAACACAGTAGTGTGGCTCCTGTATGATGTCCCAAATTATTTGCGCATATTCACTGTCACATACTCAAAGCTTTTATGCTCAGAATAGCGATGAAATGTAAAGGCACGCTCAGAGACTGCTGAGTTAGTTTGAGTGAGTTAGTTTTATTCCTGACTATTTTAAAGCAGAAAGCGAGATCAGAAAACATTGGGCGGTACGGCTAGCTATCTGATTTTAAGAGTTCTAATCGTTCACGATAGCAGGGCATAGAAGAGTAGGCGTTCGCAAAGCATCTTCAAATCAAAATACGCGTAAATACCTATCGATTTCCATATCTTTTCTCGGTATTTTTTCGTGAAAAGTCTCCAGGTTTGAGAATAGTTTTCATAGTTTGAGATACATGGGGACTTCCGTGCTCTGAATATTTCTGAGAATGACAGAAAGAGTTTAAAAAGCTTTCTTCACAATTGAGTCGGTATGGGTATCGAGACTCAAATAAGAGGATATGTTCTAAATTAGATTATCATCTGAAGAGGTTTCTATCCAATCACCTGAAGAGATTTCTACCCAATGAAGAGAAATGTGCTACAGCCCGTCGTGACAGTGAAGCTGCCATTTCGCTTCTCAATACTTCGTTAGGCTATAAAAAACTGGACGGTTTGGACTACCCATTTTAATCCAGCGAGCAAATTTCCATCAATACCTGCAGATTTAGCAACACTCAGGCAGTAATAGTTGTCGTGGTCAACCACGACTTCTCCATTTCCCATCTATCGTCCGCTTATTGTATCATCATACACTCATTCGGTAACATTCCTCTGATTCTTATCCTGTCACATGTGCTGTTCTTAGTTGACCATCTGTGAACACATCTGTAACATCTGTAATGTTTATCTACGTATATAAGTGCTCGGAAATATTGTAGGATGCTCTTGGCTCAATAAACTGCTCCCACTGAACGATCGACACAGTTTCGGTGCATCGCGGATCGGCACCCGCAAAGGTGAAGACAAGTAACCCGCAGAGGTTCACTACCCACAGAGGTAAAGACAAGGAACCCTCAGAGGTTCAGCACCCTCAGAGGTTCAGCACCCTCAGAGGTGAAAATAACCTACTCGCAGTGGTAGGATACAGCATATTAGGTTGTGTACAAAGTCTTCCGCCACGAATTTGATCGTTCTGTGTTTCGTTTGAAAGTGTTGGTATTACGTCATCTCGTGTACGTGACGTATACATATTACTCTATCACCCCAC